GGGTACCACAGGTCAGCCTCAGCCATCAACTCTAGACCCCACAGTACCCCCACCATTTGTTCGGCCCGCCTCCCACTAATGGGCATCGGTTTTCAGACTTCGGCAAGACACGCACGATCTCGCCTGTCCGAGCAGCTGTGGGTCACTTTTTTTTTTTTCTTTTTTTTTTTGCCTTTTTGGAGAGTAAGCACTGAGAAGCTTCCCCGCTGAGTCACACGTGAGGTCCGCCCTGAGTTCTGACAGCCACGGCCCTCCCGGAGTGCCCCTCCACCTCCAAGCACGGCACGGAGACGGGCCGGGGCTCCGGCCGCCGCGCGTCCCTCGCTCGAGCGCGTCCGCCCGGACCACCGAGACCCGAGGCCGCGGCGCCCGGGCGCCCACGCCCGCCGGCCCGGCCCGCTCACCATTGGAGCGACTGCCCGACTCGTTCTTGCAGTAGCCGCAGCGGTAGAAGTCCTCGCCCTCGAAATACTCCACGATGCTGGGCGAAAGAGTGGCCCAGGAAGCCATCGCCGCGGCCCGGCAAACGCTCGGAAGCCCCGGCCCGACACCGACACCGCCGCCGCCACCCCACAATGCAACGCGCCGCCGGGAGCCCCCGAGGCTCGCGCGAAGCCACTCGGGCGCCCGCAGGCCCGGCCAGCCCCGCGCCTCTGGAGCTGACGCCGCCCGCGCCATCTTGACCGAGGGCAGCTTTCCGCTATTTCCGTTCCTTCTCGCTGACGGCCCCCCGTCGTCAGTGAGGCTGAGGCAGAGAGACGGAGCAGGGAAGGTAGTAGGCTGGGAAGAAACGAACGGGAAAGGGAAGCCGAAGCAGGAATGCGGGCCTGCTCTCCCGCAGGGGCCGGCCCGGGCGCCGCGGGGGCTGCGCACGAGGCGGCCGCGCCAGCCCGTCGACGGGGACACTCACCGCACGACGCCTTGCCCTCCTCGGAGCCGCAGTAGCCGCAGTGGTAGCCGGCCTTGAGGCCCTTGTACTCCACCACCGAGCCCATGGCCGCGAGAGGGTCCGCTCGGGCGGCCACGCCTCTCGGCGCCCGGGGCCGGCCTCGGCGAGCGCGGGGCCGCGGCGGGGAAGGGTGGAGAGCGAGGCCCGGCGCGGGGGGTCCGGGCGTCGCAGCCCGGCGACCCGAGACGGGGACTCCGGGGACGCTGGCTTAGATGGCAGTCGTGCCCCCAAGCCAGGTGGGGGCCAGCCCTCTGCGTGCCCTCCGTCAGTCTTCCCACAGCTGCGCGTGGTCGGCCCCATTTACAGATAAACAAACTGAGGGCTGGAGGTTGTGGTTCACCCAAAGGCATTTCCTGCAGGTCTCAGATGCATACCCTCTCTGGCTGCCCCTGACCGCCTGTTAGATAACTAACTGGAGCTTCTTCCAGAACAGCTGGCATTCACTTAAATGCCCTAGATCCTGGAAGGGAAGCAAGCATTCTGTGAATAGGGAGGGGTAGCGAATGGTGGTGAGCACCTAACTTTTAAAGGAAACTGTCAGAGCCAGTTCTGCCTTGTGCCACTATAAGCTCAGTGCCACATCTCTATTAACTTTTAAAGAGAAGCTGGAACTCTAGATGTTTTTTAATACAAAATTTTAAAATGTCTTTACTTAAAAATAATTTTCTTCTAACTCTACAGTTCAGATAAAACGTTTAGAGAGACTGAATTCAGCTGATGGCTTCTAGTTTGCACCACTTTAAAAATGAGTACTATCTCTTCTATGAGGCTGAGGCAGAGAAGGATCACTTGAGCCCAAGAGTTCAAGTCCAAACTGGACAACATAGAAAGACCTTGTCTTAAAGAGGAAAGAAAGACGCTGTTAAGAGAATGAAAAGACAAGCTGCAGACTGGGAGGAAATCTTTGCAAAACATATTTGATGAAAGATAAGTATCTAAAATATACAAGAATTCTTAAAACTCAGTAAGAAAATGACCCAATTAAAAGTGGGCAAAAGATCTATACAGACACTTCACTAAGGAAGGTAGACAGCAGATAAACATATGAAGAGATGCCCCGCATCATATGTCATTAGGGAATTATAAATTAAATCCATAATGAGATGCCCTTACACACCTATTAGAATGGCTAAGATTTGATAACAGCAAATGCTAGCAAGGATGTGGGGACACATCATTAGTGGTGATGCAACATTATACAGCCACTTTGGAAGACAGTTTGGCAGTTTCTTACAAAACTAAACATATTCCTACCACAAATCCAATAATCACGCTCCTTGGTACACATCCAAAGGAGTTGAAAATTCATGTCCACACAAAACCCTTCACACAAATGTTTTCAGCAGCTTTATTCGTAATTGCCAAAACTTGGAAGTAATCATGATGTCCTTCAATAGGTGAATGGATAAACAAATGGTGGCACATCTATATAATGGAGTATTTTTCAGAGATTAAAAAAAAAAAGAGCTGGAATGCCATTTTCAAGCCAGGAGAAGATACTAGTTTGTATTTCAACACTAGTGTATTTTCTGCTCCATCTTTAAATTAAATAATATGTGAGTAAAAATATATTAAACTGTATTAATATATTAAACTGTATTATTGCAGTAGTATTTAGCTGAGTGACACACCACCTAAGTGACCACATGACTGGGCTATCTGCCCACTTGTCCAGCCTCCTCCAGCTACTAGATGTGTGCAGGATCTGCTCCAAGGGTTTTCACCAATTCCATTTCCATGGAAAACACACATGACACAATACGTATTCAAAAAAAAACAAAAATGAAAATGATGCTCTCGTTGCCTTCAGAGATGCTTTCCCTGACTGCACACAGCCCCTTCTCGGCTGCCTGTGACTGTTCAGCCCAGCTCACACTAAGTGAAGCCCATTCCCTCCCAACCAGACTATGTCTTCACATACCACCTCACAGTAGCCTCAATCTGGGATAGTGATGACACACAAAAAAGCCTATGACTGCTTCTGGTTGCCTTAGAAATCACCCAAGCCATCCTAAAGGAGCAACAGTAGGTAGCTGAGAGTCTGAACTAGGGCCAGAAACTGGAAAGCAGTCCTTCGCAGAGCAGAGAGTGAGAGACGAGGGCACCAGAGGGCAGCTCGGGGGAGTAGACACCGAGGACGAAGATGTTGTTCGTAAACCTGGCGATTGACAGGGTGATGGCCAAAGAGAAAGAGCAGGAGGAAGTGAGCAAATGTGCTATGAAGAGAGGGTGCGACAGGAGACTAGCAAAGGACCGACAAGCAGCATCTGCGTCTTTGGTGACAGACTCAGAATGGTTGGGTCTGGGTGCAGAAGAACAGTAGGTATTGTTTTCCTCTGTTTTGGGTACAGGCAAGAGAATTTCATCTGCCTGGGAGCAAGTGTAGCCCTGGGATGAAAGTTATGCGCTCTGGAGTCTCACACGCAGGTATCCTGCCTCCGAAGCTAACTCTGTGGCCTTTGATAAGTCACTAAACCTCTCGTGGTCTCAAGGTCTCTTTGCCCTATGAGGACCTACCTCGTAAGGTTATTTGGAAGATTAAAATATTCTATTTAAGTTCTAGCTCAGTACCTGGTATATAGTAAACTCAATAAGTGTTGCTATGGAAACAATATAGAACCTCTTAGAAAAGGAAAATATGAAAGCAGAAATATGAGTCTTGTCATTTCAAGAAGTTAGCTTTACTTAAAAGACATATTATTTTGTTTTCTAAACAAAATCGTTCTTTCTTATAAAATCCTTCTCTCTCTTCTTTTTTTTTTTTTTGCTAAGAGAAGCCAGAGAAAACAAAATATTTATAACCCAGCTTGCTAAACATAGAACATATTTGCCAACCAGGTTAAGAAATAAGTGGTCTCCAGGATGCCTAAAGTAATTGTGCTCTAAAGTGCTAAGTTCCCTGCTATATTTTCCTGCATTCAATTTTTTAAAAACTTTCTTGTCATCTAATTGTTTCATTATCTATTTAAATTTGACAAGAATCATGAAACATGTTAGATAGCTGTTTTTGGAAATTGATGACAGCTTATACATTTATTGCATATTTATTGCTAGTAACTTTACACATAACTGCACTTAAAATGGACTTGCCAGCTTTGACAACTTTTCTCATCAAAGTTAAGTTCTTTGTTCTACCAATAACATGCAAAAACAGTGGTTTGTGGTATTTGAAATGGCAACTGGGTCTTCCCTCTCCAGTGTTAAAGGTGCTTCTGACAGCCTCAACCACAACGTGGCTCTGTTTATACTTTTATCGGAGTACATTCCCTCCTTGCTTTAGGGAAAGACAGAAGTTAAACGTATCATAGAGTCCTGCTGTTGGCACAGAGAAATGCCTTCCGCTACATGTGGAAAGTGGGTCCCAAATCAACTCCCTAATACAAGCCATACTGCGGCATGTTTCCTAAAAGCTTTCTCCAAATCCTAGTAAAATTTCTCTTTTTGATCTTCTAGATTGGCCTGGGCTAAAAATAGTCAAGACCCTCGGGTTGCAGTAGGTTCCCATTCCCCACTAGAAAAGAAGATTGAGGTGAGGAAATATATTTACATGAACTTTGGAGCCAATAACGTGACCGTGTAAAGTTTATCACTGGTGTAAAGGGCCCTAGGGTTTCAAGGGAAAGTGCTTTGCCTGTCAGGCTGAGGCTAGCATTTGGTTCAGAGAGCACCAATGGCCAGGCCAAACAGCCCTACATTTAAACACCACCCGTGCTCTCACCGGGCTTAGTCTGGCAAAGGGCGTTGATGTTAGACAGTGATCACGAATTGTGGTTAGTGTCATGAAAAAGGATGAGGTTTTATCTGAGTTGGTGGAGGGCCTGAGGGAGTGACGTGGAAGCTGCAGGTGGTTACATGCCGTAGCCGTGTGTGGTGGCAGCAGATGAAGGAAGAGCGGATGAAAATGCTCAGATGGGAAAGAGAACACAGCGTTTGAGGACTAGAAAAGTCCACCTGGCTGGAGCAGAGTGAGCCAACAGCCAAGCTGAGAACGTTGTCTAGAGAGGTGATCGGGGCCAGGCGATGGATGCCATCCTGGAATCTGGGGTTTTTCTCCTAAAAGGGAAAAGGTGCTATCCCAGGGTTTTTGGGCAGAACAGAGACATGCTTAGTTTTACGTAATAAGAAGATGGCTCTGGCTGCAGAGATTGGCCTGACGGGCTTGGGGCAGAGGGCGAGAAGTGTGGTTTCAAGGAACCTAGTCAGGATGTCACCTCAGGGCGGGGGCAGCAGGGTTGAAGTGAAACATGGACGTGAGTTGAAGTTGGAAGTGACAGGATGGAGACCGGGGAGACTGAGGGAAAACTTTGGAGGAAGAGGCAAGTGGAGACGTCAAGTCCGAGATCCGAGGCTGAGAGCAGGGCAGCCCGGGTGTCTCGTCTGTCACCCCTCGTCCCCCTCTAGAGCAGCGCCTGACACAAGCAGGTCTCCTTGTTGCATGACCGAGACCACCCGTACCCAAGGAAGCCTGTGACCGCGCTTTATCTTGAGTGACTGTTTTCTCTGCCATGTTGTCCCGCATTGCGTTTAAAAGACAGAAGCAGCACAGCAGATGGAGGAGTGGCTATGAGGTAGGAAGAGACTCAGGATCTTCGCCCACTGGGGACATTCAGCAAATGCCTGGGCTGGGCTGGGAGCCTAAGTCACACACTCTTGGCGGGAGCCTGGAAGCTGGGAGAAAATGTGTCCAGGGAGAGAGAGTGATGGCCTCTGTTATAGGCTGCGGAGAGGTCAAGGATGGCAAGAGCAGACGTGGGCCCACGGTCGTCTGTGTGGGGCTGCTGGTGACCTAGGTGAGAGCAGACCGAGAAGTGGGGGATGAAACCCAAGTGGCTTGAGGAGACGTGAGGTGAGAAAGTGGAGAGGGACCCTAGGAAACCCCCCGAGGAATGTTGTGAAGGGAGCAGAAAAGCGGTGAAAGCTGGAGAGGGGCGTGAAGTAGGGGAAGAATTTAATACTGAAGCATATTTTGATGGGAATGATCCAGCGGGAGGGGAGCCTTTTGAGGAAAGGGAATTTGATAATTGCAAAATTGGAAGTCGTGAAGCTCGACAAGCCCAGGTGGAAGAATTGGCTTTTGCCAGGCCCAGGGGCAGTGCTTCCTCTGCAAAGGCAGGAAGGCAGGTCTGGGGCAGCAGCAAGGTGGCATCCAGCAGTGGGAAGAGGAGCATGCTCCCGCGTGACTGCCTCTGTTTCCTCCAGGAAGGCTAAGGCAGTCCTCCTATGGGAGGGGCGCCGGGAGAGGGGAGCGTCGGTTCGAAGAGGAAAGCACGGGACATGGTTAAGGGCCTCTCACGGGGACACGGGAGAGGACTGCCAGGGAGGGCTAATGGCGCGCTTGAGATGTGACCCGTGGACACACAACTTAAAAATGCTCTGATCTTCCCTTTCATAAGAGTTTAGGTGGTGTCCGTTCTTCTGAAGTAAGGAAACTATTAGCCCAGAAGTTTCAGCAGGAGAATGAAACAATCCATCAACTCCAGGCCATGTCTTTTGACTTCCGGTTTGCCAAAGCGGAGGAATACTACTACCAGCGATACCAGGAAATGATGACGGAAGAAGCCTGGAAATACAAAGTGGTTCCAAAATGGGAATTTAAAGTAGAGGAAAAGAGATCACAGAGCGCAAAGACAGAAGACGCTAAAAAGTGGGACTACCTGGTGTCCGAGAGGGAGCTGAATCACATAGAGAAACACATATGCCGGGTGGAACGCGCCAGGGGCCTCAGAGACCACAACTATCGGCTGCTCCCTCAGAGAATTCCAAGAGAAATACTTTGCCCCAAAATATTAACCCTGGAGAAAGATGAGAAGAATGAAAACATCCAGAAAACACCCAAAACCGAAACCAGAAGGCACAAGGTGGCGTGGGCAAAGGAACAGATGAAGGGACATCAAGATCGCATGATTCGAGGGCGAGAACTCACAGAGCAGAGGAACGACCAAAGAGAGGCCCAGAAACTCTCCAGCTACGTCCCGCCTTTCCTCAAATCCCAAGCGCGGAAAGCGGAGGCGAAAGAGTTTGAATGGGTCACAGCTTATCCAATTTTCCAACCTTATCAGAAAGCACTTCTAGAAGTGACTATTCTGATGGAAAAATCAAAAAAAGAAGATACAATTAAGAAACCACTGAAAAGGGAGCTCTTGAGTATGCCACCCTTTTTGAGAAGTCAGCTAGAAAAAAATAAAGTCTAGGTTATTTTGTTGATTGTTGTTATTTTATTTTTTTAGACTAGCACACTTTTATAATCATGAGTGTAGTAAAACTGTCTACCCTCTTGCTTCTAAGCACATGAAACTGGCCACACACACACACAAAAAGTTAAGCCACAAGTATAGTATCTCCAAGTGTTTCGGCAGGCTGTGTAAACTGCTCCAAAACTTAGTGACTTAAAACCAGCACCATTTTACTATATCTCACGATTCCATGTCAGGAAACCAGGCTCAGCTGGGCCATTCCGCCTCCCAAGGCATCACCAGTGCTGCTCGGAGGTATTCAGGTGATAACTGGGCTAGTCCAGAGGGTCCAAGATGGCTTCCCCACATGCCCTTGCTTGGCAGGGAAGGCTGGGAAGCTGGACTTAGCTGGTCCCTCTCTTGCCCTCCCCTTTCCATGTAGTTTCGGGTCTTGTGGTAGTTGGACTTTTTACATGGTGGCTCAGGGCTCCAAGAATGTGTATTCCAAGAGGCCTGTTGGGAGCTAGAAGGCTTCTTATGACTTAGCCTCAGAAGTCCCAGTCACTTCTGCTGTATTCTGTTGGTCACGAAAGCCACCAAGACCAGGCTAAATTCGAGGGGAGGAAAAACAAGACTCTATCAAAAAATTGTGTAGCCATTTTTAAATCTGCTCTTCCAAGGCTCTGAAAAGTCTATCACCTCTTTCCTTCATTATACTTCTGTTTAACACTGCTTATAAAAACTAAACAAATATTTTTCTGCAGACCAAAAAAAACCCTACAATTTCACAGCTCTTGAGTTGATAGTGACTAAAGCAGGGGACCTCAAACTATGGCCCTCGGGCCACATGCGGCCTGCAGAGGACATTTATCCAGCCCGCAGGGTGTTTTTGCTTCCTGCTTAGCAACCGACTTGTCCTGGGCCCACAGTGCACATGTGTGGAATGTGAGCCGCACTCTCCAACGGCCCTCTGACGGTCTGAGGGACAGTGAACTGGCCCCCTGTTTAAGAAGTTTGAGGACCCCTGGACTAAAGAGACCTGGCTCCCTCTCTGTAGAGTTTAATATAGAATCTACAAGCCTGTTACAATTATGCGGACAACACATTGTCTTGTACTAACTCACCTAAAATTTAATGGGATATCATGTCCCTAAGCCCTCACCCTGCCATGACTCTAGGGTGTAGCTTGTCTGTACCTTGAGGGGTTTACAATGTATTTAGGGAAGAAAATAGAAGAAATAAAACAGCACATGTCCAATTATGTAGTTTCGAGTTTTACTGAGAATATGGACTGGAGAGTAGGGCAGCAATTTATGGGGAACCGAGGCTGCACCTTGGATGGTAAGTTCTTAGGCAGACAGACAGGAAGAAGGCATGGCCATGATTCAGCACTGATGCTCACTCACCATGTGCCAGCCATCATCAGTACAGAATAGGCCCAACCCTGGCATTGGAGGACCTCACTGGAAAAGACATGTGCTAAACAACATGATGAGCATAAGTAGAGTAACTGACCTAGGAACGAGGTGCTATTAAAAACAGCACAAAATTCTGAAGGAAAAGAAAGGCTCTGGGAATGTAACAGTTTTATTTTTAAAAGGTAATATATGATCTTTTTCAATTCAAAAATTTAAAGAAAACGTGGCTCATAATCTCACTGTCTAGATAACCTCTGTTGATGATTTTTAAAAACAGTAAAAAGTACACAAGTTTAGAAAACCCAGTAGTTACAAAAGGTACAAAATGAAAAGTAACAGCTTTTCTACCTTGTTTTGCAAAACATAACCACCTTTAAGTTTCTCACATGAGGAGAGTTTTAAAAAAGTAGAAAGTAGGCAAATGAAAGAGGAAGAGGCGGCCAACTCCAGACATGCACACTTGAAAAATTATGGTGTTAAGGCCACATGTTGTATGATTCCATTTCAGTGAAATGACCAGAATAGGCAAATGTATAGAAGGTAGGTTAGTGGCGGCTTAGGCTGAGAAGCCAAAAGTGTTGGTGAGGAAGGGGGACTGACAGCTTGTGGGCACAGGGCTGGGGGTACAAAAATGGTCTAAAAATTAGATGGAGATGATGGTTGCTCAACCCCATGAATAGATTTAAAAACACTGAATTGCATAGTTTATGTGGGTCAATTATACAGTACATGAATCATATCTCGATAAAGCTGTTTAACAAAAAGAAACACTAGAGTTTAGAGAGTTTGGCGGAAGTGAGCCTGGAAGTGTCGACAAATGGCCTGATCATGCAAAGCTTCAGACATCGCTGGAATATTAAGATTTCTTTTCAGTCTTGAGGCAGCGAGGAATCCCTGAGAGAATGGCAAGTGGTTCTGAAGAAGTGGGAAAGATCTGAAGGACAGACAGGAAGCAGGAGACAGCAGATGGCAGTCTGGCAGTGACGTGGGCAAGATGGAGCGATCGGAGACCCATGGGAATTAGTGCCCAGTTAAGGTACAGGCTGGAGGTAGTGGGAGAACCCTAGATTTCTGTTTGAGGAAATAAGGTGGTCACGGTGCCAGTGCAGGGATTGATTGTAGGGAGAAGATCTGGGGGGCTGTTTGATTCGTGTGTTTAAACATATGCATAGAACAGCCCATATTCTGTCCAATAAACCACTGGTTAAAAATATGTCTGTAGCTTTTTCAAGATGTTTAGGCATCAAAGTTTTGCAACTGTTGAGGATATAAACATAGCAAACATCATGAGAGTGAGACAATGGAAGGAGAACCAGGGAAAGTAACAGACATCAAGGATGTACAGTTTCAAGGCATAAATTTTCCCATGTCATGTACAGCATTTATCCATTGGAGTTAACAATTTGGAAAGAAATCAGTAAATATGGCATAAAACAGATTCACTCAGTAGACTGGTATGAAAGGAAGTGTCATACAGCCATGGGTTGAAGGCTAGAAAAAGGGAGACAGCAAGTGATTCTCATTTAAAAAGGAGACAGGACAGTAACTGGGAGAGGGTCACAGTAATTTTTTTTTTTTTACATTAGAGATGAGCACGGTTGAAGGGAGAACTACAGATACGGGTAGCAGGGAGAACGGAACAGACTCCCCTAGCAATCAGGAAGAGCTGGAACCCAGAGCTTTCCACAGAAGAGACACCTGTAGCCCTGATGCCGGAGGGAAGGAGAAGGGACGAAAGTAGAAAGGTGGGGAGTGGGAAAAGGAACCACCTGTAGCCCAGAAAACATCAAGGGCAGGCTTGAAAGCCCAGCAGGCATCGCATGGAGCAGCGGGCCGGTCAGACAGGTCCAGGGCCGCGTTGCAGGGGAAAGCAGGCCACCCTGGCTTGTCGGAGGGCTTAATGGTTCCTTGTGTGTAAACCATAGGCTGAATCATAGGACACTGCTGATTTGAACATTTTTTATGTATGAAAACAACAATTTCACATGATACAACCTATCTGTTGCCTTGACTAACTTTATAGCTAAAATGATATAAAAGGAACCTTAACAACCCATAGGGCATGAACAACCTAAGTAAAACTTTCAACAGGACAGGACTGGAAAAGGGAGACATTCCCATAAGAAAGTAAAGAGTGACTACAATCATTTGTGAATGTGGCAGTGAAGTTCCTTTAATCAAAGACAACCATGACAAATTCATTAACTATCAAAAGCTACATTTTACTAAAAACAATCTGGCTTTAAAAATGTTGAATCATACAATATGTACAGTACATGCTGCTTTCCTTTTGGGATTTCACTATTATTTGAGTCCTAAAAAGAGGGAGAAAAGACAGCTGGTTAACAGTTTATATATGATAAATAAAAAGTTTGTATAATATACATAAATAAAATCTAATAACTAGCCCCCTCCTCAGTAAGTAGGGCCCAGATTAATCCACATTATATATCTTATGTCTATACTCCTCTTCCCTCAAAATATTTTTACAGAAGTAACTTATCTTGGAACAAAAGAATTTCAAGTAATTGAAGCACATATTAGGAGTTTACATTAAGTACTAAAAAGCTCATTTCAATTCTCAAAATCATAGGAAATTTGAGCTAGAAAAAAAATAACCATAGCAATTATCTAGTCCGAAACCTCCCCATTTCATATAGATTTATTGATAAGGAAAAGGAAGCTGAGTGAGACTAACAGGCTTGCCCAAAGTTAGAAAGGGGCAGAGCTGACAGAATCTAGACCTGCTGGTTCCCATCCACAGCTGTGGGCAGCGCAGAATGCCAGGTCATTACAAAGATTTCTTTTTAGAAATATCCCCCTTCATAAAAATGAAGAATTATTTCATAGTATAATTCAAATTGTAGAAATGTCCATTTACTAACATCATTCTAAGGCAGTCCTGTCCTAATCCTCCTTTGTTCCTATAAAACAAGCAAATCTAATGGGACAGTGAACAACACTGATGGGAGGATTCAGTATTTCACTTAGTCTACTTCATTAATTTTTTAGCGGGAGGGAAGCCAAACCAATAACAAACATCTGCTCTGCCTCTTTCAGCTGCAAATCTTTTTTTTGTTTGTTTTTTGAGACAGAGTCTCGCTTTGTTGCCCAGGCTAGAGTGAGTGCCGTGGCGTCAGCCTAGTTCACAGCAACCTCAAACTCCTGGGCTCAAGCAATCCTTCTGCTTCAGCCTCCCGAGTAGCCAGGACTACAGGCATGCGTCACCATGCCCGGCTAATCTTATATATATATATTAGTTGGCCAATTAATTTCTTTCTATTTATAGTAGAGACGGGTCTCACTCTTGCTCAGGCTGGTTTCGAACTCCTGACCTCGAGCAATCCGCCCGCCTCAGCCTCCCAGAGTGCTAGGATTACAGGCGTGAGCCACCGCGCCCGGCCTCAGCTGCAAATCTTAAACACCAAAGTAATCAATCCAGAGAAGGGACCTTACAACCGCTATGCTTTTCTCACCAGTTACACACAGTTCTAAGAATAAGGCACTAGAGGGAGGCAAAAATCCAAATATCCCCGGAATGGGGGAAAGTAGGAATGTTTGGTTTGCTAAATCAAGTTTAATAAAACTGTGCAGCTGTACTGCAGAAAACATT